AGTCCAGTGTTTAACACTGTGTCCTTAAGACATATTCGTCCTCTCTACGATACTTTCAGAATGTGGACGACTATCTCCTAAGATAAAATGATCAATAAACAAAAAATTACAGCACTACAAATTTTTCGTACAACGAAGACACTTAGTGTATATACTCTTTCTCACAGAAAATTAATGGAATTAATGCAGCAAAATGCAGAGATGAATTGCAGCAGAGAAGAACGAAAATTGGAGTTAAAACATCAAATGAGGGCTGCCTATTTATAGATGGAGTGGTGGCTGTACAGATTTGAATGAACATGTATGATACCTATTCGGACAGATCTGGTTTGAAATTCAAACAGATAAACTGTTTTGGGTTTGAACAGATTCAGATTTGTTGGACAGATATGAGACTATACACTAGACAGATTTGAATTTAAACTGTACAGAAAATGAACTGGACAGTTTTGAATTAAATTGTACAGAATTTGAAGAGATGCAAACTGATTTGAATTCAAACAGATTTTAATTTACCAAAAATAAAATTAAATTCAAATGTTTTTTGCCTAAAAATATAGGTATTGGACCGGATAAGCCCAACCCAACCACACACCACGCACCTACGCCCAAGCCCAGCCCAGCCCTGCCCGCCCGACCAGACGGATGGCGGTGGCGACGCGCGCGTGTGATTATTTTTGGATCCAATGGGTATAATCCAATTTTCCCATAACCTTTTTATTCCACAAACTTGGGGTGCCCCTCGGGGCTCTGCCTAAGTTATAATCTCGTGTCTTATAAATCCATTTAAAACTTGTCCACCAAATCAATGTGGGATAAGCCTTAAACCAAACCTTTAGGAAATTTCACCCAAAACACCATTTCCATGGAGCTCTCTTTGACTTCAATTTCTCATTCCCCCGATAATGGTTTTGAGTAACTAAATATACAACGTGAATCACAACGCGGTATAGAGCACGTTACCACTTAGACCCGTGAAATTCGACGCATGGGTCCCACCTAAAAATTAGACCAAAGTTGAGAATTTTTTTTGTTTTTTTCCAAAACTTTCAAAATCATTTCTAACAAAAATCAGTGATTGACATCACCAATAACTTACGAAATAGCCCTAATTTTTTGATCTCTATTTATCTTGTCTTTAAATTTGTGTTTGAATCATTTGGTTTATGGATTTAGATCAAATTTTAAATTTTGTTTATATTTTACATTTTTTTTCTTTTTCAAATTCATATTGAAATACAACAGTATCAATGTGTATATATATTAGTCATACATATTGTATCGCTAGTAAACTACCTGATGAATCATTTGTTGTTGTTATGGTCCTGTTGTTTTGTTATTGTTGATGATATAACAGATTGCACAGCTAGAGAGAGAGAGAAAATATAAAATGATTTGAATAGATAGAATTTTTTTTTAACAGATAATATTTGGACAGATAAAATTTAGACAGATAGCAAATTTACATAGAAAAATTTGTACAGATAAAAAATTTACAAAGAAAAAAAAATTAAACATATAGACAATTTTTTTTTTGAGCATATAGGCAAAAAATTTGAATAGATAAATATAAATTTGAATAGATAGTTAATAAAAAGTCAAACAGATAAAAAAAAGTCAAAAGGTAAAATTAGAAATAAAATGTTCTTCAGAATTTCTCACAAAACTATTTTACAAAGTACGGATCTTTCATCAACAAAAAATATCCCTCAGACAATAGGGGTGAGCATGGTTCGGATTGGACCGGATTGGGGTAAAATCAAGACCAATCCGTTATCTACGGTTCTTGAAAAATTGAAACCAATCCAATCCGTTTAAATCATGGAACCAATCCGAACCAATCCATTTAAATACAGATTGGATCGGTTTAGGACCACGGATTCACATAATTAAATAACAAAAAAATATATATAACACTTTAATTTCATAAAAATATAAACATAGCGCTATATTAGTTCCACAATAGCAATATCTATTTCTATAATAGTGACATACTGTGCTAGAATTTAAACAACCATAAGAAAACTGTTTTCACCATAAGTATTTAGACCATTACAAATTAAAACTAAAAACTAACAAACAAAAATAATAAAAGAAGATATTATACGGTTTTAGGTTAGAGAGAAAATATAAAATGATTTGAATAGATAGAATTTTTTTTTAACAGATAATATTTGGACAGATAAAATTTAGACAGATAGCAAATTTACATAGTAAAATTTGTACAGATAAAAAATTTACAAAGAAAAAAAAATTAAACATATAGACAATTTTTTTTTTTAGCATATAGGCAAAAAAATTGAATAGATAAATATAAATTTGAATAGATAGTTAATAAAAAGTCAAACAGATAAAAAAAGTCAAAAGGTAAAATTAGAAATAAAATGTTCTTCAGAATTTCTCACCAAACTATTTTACAAAGTACGGATCTTTCATCAACAAAAAATATCCCTCAGACAATCTCTAAATTGAATTTATTACTAATTTTCTTAAATAAAAATTAGCTTGACTAAAAAAAAAAAAAGAAAAAGGAAAAAAGCATTTAAATGGAAACAACTTAAAATTGCATTGTCATAGAAGCAAAAATGAGCTTGTGTTTGCAACTATGACTTGTTTCGACTAGTAACTTTATAAAAGTGTAATTATTTTGAGTTATTCTTATTTATATGCAATTTTCTCAAAGAAATAATCATATTTTTGTCCCCCAAAAGAATGATGTGTAATTATTTTGATTTATTTATTTATTTATTATTATTATTATTTTAAAAAATAGTTTTGTAAAACAAAATCAAACATATGTTTATTTTTGAACAAAAATAAAAACATGTATGGTTCATACATGTTGTAAGAACTTTTTTTTAAAATAAAATAGAGGTTGGCGAGAGATGGTGATAAGTTGTCAAGTACCAAAAAATGGTGATCAGATGTGGTTGACGGTGGTTAGAGATGGTTGCCAGTTGTGGAAGTGGTGGACGAATGTGGTTGTTAATGCTTAGAGATAATGGTTGAGCTCTATATGATTTTTGATAAAAAGTGATGGTTCAAAAGTGATAATCAACAGACAGGTGATTGTTGAAGGAAGTCATTGATAACAATAGTAAAGGTAGTAAGAAAAGGACAAAAGAAGTTATTTATTTTCTAAATAAGTAACACTAACTTTTTTTATTTTTCATTTTTTAATTACAAATAATTTAATAAAATTTATAGAAGGGGATATTTTTTAAAGATCCGTAGTATTAAGATTTTATAGTATCAAAGACTTTCAATAGTTTAATAATGTCTAAGATCCTTCAAATTGATCCAGAGAAAATTCGATTCAGAAAATTTCTCTAGATTTCACAAAGAAAATCTTACCAGAGAAATTCTCTTAAAACTAGAGGAATTCTTCTCTCTAACGTAGAAAAATTCACTCAAAACAGGGAAATTCCCCCTCTCCAATCCAGAGAAATTCCATTTTCTATGATTTTTCACTTCGAGGCTCGTTTTCGTCCTCACAGTGATTCTCCTTGAGACAGATCAAGAACTTGAGATAGGCAGAGCGACGGTGTAGAAGAGGAAGAAGGAGAACGGCTGGCGAGGGTGGGACACTCGAGATGGAGGGAAACTTCTTTGTTTCTCTGATTGAGAGAATTACACACATACTCACACATATATATATGGCTAATGAAGGCCTTGAATTCTCTCACAAAGATGTAGAACTAAATGAAGAAATGACCGAAATGCTGTTCCCAAAGAGGCGATTCTACTTCTACATCCTTTGTTTTGGCGGTTTGAACAGATCGGCGGTGGTGAGAGTGTAGTGGTAGCAGAGAATAAAGATGGAGGAGGATGAGAGGTGATGGGATCGAAGGATCAACGCTCTGAAGAAGCTTTAAGAATGGTTAAAGATTGTCGTCGGACCACAGCGGAAGAACTTTTTACGGCGGTTCAATCGGAGTAAGAGTGGCGGAGGAAGAGTAAGGTAAGGGAAATTCCAATACGATCCTCTCAGTTACGCTCTCAACTTCGATGATGGCCAAATGCAGAACAGTGATTTGGATGAAACGTTTCTTGGCTTCTCGTTGCGGTACGTTTCGATTCCAATATCGGTGAAATCGTCTATGGATAACGATGCTTTGAGCTTCACTTAACGAAGGAAAGAGAGTTGGAAAAGACGACGACGACGATGAACTCCGGCGATTGAGGTGGAGTTCGTCGGAGAGAAAAGAGTAGGGAAAAAGGAAGAGATGGAGAGGCCATGATTCTACATCCATTGCTTCAGCAGTTCGAACAGATCAGCGACGGTGAGAGTACGGTGGTGGCAGAGAATGAAGATGGATGTGGAGGAGAGGTGATGGGATTGAGGGATTAACGCTCTAAAGAAGCTTCAAAAGTAGTTGGAGATTGTCACCGGGCCACGGTGGAAGACCTTCATACGACGGTTTAATCAGAGCAAGAGTGGCGGAGCAGGAGCAAGGCAAGGGAAATTCCAATACGATCCTCTCAGTTACGCTCTCAACTTCGATGATGGCCAAATGCAGAACGGTGATTTGGATGAAACGTTTCTTGGCTTCTCGTCGCGGTACGTTTCGATTCCAATATCGGTGAAATCGTCCATGGATAACGATACTTTGAGCTTCGCTTAACGAAGGAAAAAGAGTTGGAGAAGACGACGACGACGATGAACTCCGGCAATTGAGGTGGAGTTCGTCGGAGAGAAAAGAGTAGGGAAAAAGGAAGAGATGAGAGGCCAGTTTGATTTGAGGGAATTAAATTTCTCTATAATATGTGGGTGTTGGGGGTTGAGGAACTTTAGATATCACAAAACAATATTGTCTATCTCTTCCATTACTAAAAATAAAAGAAAGATCTTAAACTAATTTTCTCTTTATAGAATGTTTACTAAATTTTGAACTATACCAAACAAGTTTTTTGATTTATCCTTTTTTTGATTTTTTATTTTTTATTTTTAATTTTTAATTTTTTATAAATATAAATATTTATTTATGAATAGAAAACCAGGTAGGGTTGTTTATTTTCAAACCCTCTCTCCAGCAACGCAACTGCACACCAGGTATAGAGCCAAGAGTGAGTCGGATCAGTTGTCAAGCAAGTCAGGCCACAGTCCAGCTCCAGCCTCTTGCTTCCTGGTACCTCCACTCCACTCTTCATGTCCTCTATTCTGTAATTTCTGTTTATTTTGATTATGTAAAATTGGTCTCTTTGATTTTGTAATTCCAGTACTTGGCAAATAGGGGTTTCTTTGATTTTGTAATGGTTAGGGTTCGAATTGGAGTTGGAGCCCTTGTCTCTCTCTCTCTAGGATCTTTGTGGATAGTTCACATTCTATGCATCTTTTTCTTCTTTTATTATTTATTTATTATTTTTTTATGTCCTAGAAAAGCCAATGGGGATTTTGATTGTAGAGCACGAGAACTTGTATGAAATTTATGGTTTCCATTGGTGAAAATCCAATCACCTCAATTTAAGATGAGAAAAAATTCCCCATTGGTATCAAATGGTTATCTATTAAGCGGGGAAAATCCTATTTAAAAAAACAGAAAGATTAGACTCTCACTCTTGCAAGAACGGACTAACAGGGTCAGCTACCCAGCTAACCTTCCTAATTAAATACCGTTACTGTCTAGGTAAATCTTGTTGTGAAAGACCTATTACTGGAAAATTCATGGGTAGAGCCAGAGCGTGAACTGTACAAGTTACCAATAAGGTTGATTAAATGAAGTAAGAGGCTCCGGTGTATAGAGAAGACCTCACTGTTTAAGAAGTAACCATAGAAAAATGATGGAGCCTGCTATTTATTTTACTTTTTTATTTATATGATTTTGATACCGAACTCTCTCTTTTCACTGAAGCTTCTAGGGTGAAAACAACTGTAAATTACCAACCAGCTCAATAATTTTCTCAGTTTCTTTCAATTTTCTTTTCGTATCTATGGGCCCTGGGTCTCCCAGGATCATGCTACATTCATGAAGTGATGCAGCTGAAGGGAGAGACGCCCATCTTGAGTTGGTGGTTGGGTGGGTCTCATTTGGGCCCCTTGAGGAAAAATCCTGAACATATGTTCAAATTTTTTTTTTTTTTTAAATATAACAGAAATCTGTAAAATCATATAAAAGAGTCATAACAATCTTTTGTATTTCAATTTTATGTTTTGTTTTGTTTTTGTTTTTGTTTTTTTCCGCTCTTTTTCTTCTACAGCATTCAAATAGAACAAAATGCGACGCGGTAGGAAGAACAGAACAAGCTCAAGAAAACCTAATGACGCTTCTGCCTCCAGCAATTTTGTTCCTCCTTCTCAAGAACAAATGTATTAGTAAAAAAACTTATACTTTCTTCTTCTTCTTCTTCTTTTGTGTGTGTGTGTGTTTGCACACACTGTACTTCACTTCGAAAGTTCTTGGTGTCCTCATTTTTGATGAATCAAAATGAATTAAATGCACACTTTTTTATTGGTCTCTGATCATCACAAAATTTAGCTTTTTACTTATAATTTTATGTTTATTGATTATGGTTTTGAATATGATGGTTGCATGTATGTGGACTTGTGGAGTAGTTGCTATGAAGGTGAAAGTCTTGCTCAGCTCATCAAATCCATCCAGAGGTAACCAACTCTATTGACAGTCTCTTCATACAAACCAATTCTTTACATTAACTGTGTCGGTATAAATATATATACACACACACGTGCAGAAACACACACTCTGTATATTAGGCAAATGGGTTGTCCTGATACTTCATATCTTTTGAACGTACAGAGAAATGGAATCAGCTAGACTTTTGGACACAACTTTACCTCACAAAATATGGATTAAGGTAGGTTTTCTCTATCTTCCTTCCTTAAAAATCCCCCCTTTTTTCTGTTTAGTCTTTGAATAAATTTTAAAGGGCTGAATTGCTGACTAGCTTATGTCTTCGAACAATTTTTTAATATTTTTTCTTGATATCAATCTATTCTCTTCTCCTTATTAGCAACAATTTTCTGTTGGGGTTAATGATGTCACACGTGTACTTGAACGCATGCCCCCAGTTGCTGTGAAGGAAAGCTCTACTGGACACCCTTTTACAAGCCAAAGTTATCGCAGTAAAGCTCCCCCAATTCAGCTCCAGGTTATCTTCCCTTCAATTTGTTTTTTGAAATACTTAGGGTGTGTTTGGTTTGCTTAAGAAAAATTTTTAAAAATTTTTTTGGGGAGAGTTTAGAAATTTTTTGATTTGTTTGGTTGTATATTTTGAAAATAGTTTTGGAGTTTGAGAGTTTGGGATGATTTGATATTTTGTTGTAGTTGAGTAGATGTGTGTGAGAGAAAAAGTGATCGAGAAGGAGAGAGGAGAGAGAAAAAGTGATTGATTAATGTGTAGGAGAGTAATTTTGAAATTTTTTTTTCAAAAAATTTGAACCAAACGAATTTTTAGAAATTTTTTTCAAAAATTGTATCTTGAAATACAAACCAAACCAACCCTTAGTATCTTTTCATTGTTGTTCAGTAACTCTCATGCCTGTACAAATCAACTGCTTCACTTCTGCTCCTCTTTAAGTAACCACCCCAAAATGCATATGTAGTCGCCTAATGTTTGTGTCATATAATTTTTTCCTCTTTTTTTTTTTTTTTTTTGCATTTCTTTAAAATTTGTGGTTCAATAGAATTATACAATAATTTTTTTGGTAAACACTGGAAAAGATTCTCTTGTAATAATATAGAAATGGAACTACAATGTGTAAGGTATCATCAATCTAAGATCGAAGCCTGAGACCTTGACCATTGATCATTTAATAAGTGGAAAAGCTCTTCTTAATTGGTTTTGCATGTCATAGAACAGAAGTTGTCAGAGGCATACCATTATAGGTTGTGTATCTGAGTTGTGGCATCTTCTATTTATTTTGTTTGGTGTGTCTAAGGCAGTGGCCTCAAACGTTGCCAACAGAAATCAGTGCTCGACTGCTCTCTTTGTTCAAACAAAGCTTGTCGTGTTTTACATATATCTAACTGGACTAATGGTTATCCCCAGTCTTATTATCTTTGTTACCTTGGATTAGTGAGAGACATTCTCTTTTTCTTTTCCCTTTTTAATCTTTGGCAAAAGGGTTATTGATACTTAATACCTTAATTTTCATATTAATACATGAGTTAATCTTATAACACAAAGGGTTATTAATTAGTAAACTGAGAATTGATGTGTCTGTTTTATTTTTGAGGTTTGTAGGCCATACTACTAGCTTCTGATTGCAATCCACGATGGCTGACGAGGCATCTGCCAAGCATGGCCTCATCAAGAAAGGTACCTCTGATCTTTGTGAAGGATAAGAAAGGGGGTTCCGTAAGATTAGGTGAATTGGTTAAGTTAAAAACAGCAATTGCCATTGGAGTTAAGGTACGGAAGTCACTACTTAGAGAATGAGATCTAATCATCATGTGAGAATGAATACTTTCTTTACTTTTTATAATACTATTTTTTAAGTTCATTGCTATGATTTACTCTATGTTGCTAGTAACTTTGCATATATTAGTGCTTATCAGTTTACGTGTAGATTATATTTTTGGGAATTTACATGTACCTTCTTATAACTATTCCCTCACTTCATCTAGGTTAAAGGAAATGCCATCAACCAGTGTATTGAGGAGATTCTTCATGGCAACGAAATAAATTTTGGATAAGATTGCATGAGCTCAACTGAGATGCATGGAACACACGGCCCCTAACCATGGTTTTGACAGACAGCAGCTTATCAATGAATAGGCAGGAGACAGACATTAATGAGAGAACCAGCAATGGATTCATGCAGCTTTCATAGTGATGCTCATATATTTTCCCTTGTACTGAATACAACAAGCTCTCAAATCACATTTCACCAACTATTGGCATGGTTGAATGTTGTGGGCCTTCTCAATGTTATATTCACCACCTGTTGCAAATGAAATTATGTTTTCACCTTTTTGTCAGATTATACAATCAGAACATTAGTTACTTGAAGCTAATGGCAGTTTGATGTCTGTTTTAGTGAATTGCAATGTTTTGTTGAACGGGCAAGTTCAAGGTATATTATAGAATGAGATGCTACTACTACACATTGATTTGGCTGGACTAATATCCATCATTTGGAAGTTATATGGGACATAGTTCCATCCTTTCCACGGGAGTGTAGATGTACGAGGCAAAACTCATCTAGTGTAATGAAGTCAATAGTTGACATGACTATAAAGGCTATTCTTTATAGTAAGCAACACACGATTGACTCGTGTGTGAGTGAAAAAAAAAATCTGAGAAGTTATGTTGGGACATTCATTCTATTGTCTACTAAAAACAAACACAAAAATGGTAGTTCTATTGTTTCAACTAAAAAAAAATCAAATTGAGACACCATATCATCTTTGTTCCAAGAGTACGAAATAATTTCCAAAAACAATCAAATGATGTCAGCCTACTGAAAATGGGTCCTGATACCAACTGTTAATATAATATGTAATTGTGTGATTAATTAGACTCTTACTTACGAGTGCAGTTTTCAACATCCATGTTCTGCCATTCAGTGTACAATACAACCATCAATCTAATCTGAGTTACTGAACAATTGTGCTGAAGTCTATATAGTCCCATTGCCTGTAAGACTTGAAATGAGTACAAGAAGAAGCTAATGTCAAAATAAAGCAGTTTAACCTTCATTTACTGATCTTTTAGTTTCTTTACATTCAACACTAGTTACTCTTTGACAAATATGTACCATACAACACATGAGGCTCTATTATGGCATCGAAAACAATCAGATTAGTCTTTACATTGCTCCCATTCCTTTTGAGTTTCATGCACTAGACTGGGGTATATATATATATATATGCATATAAATTATAATTAAGGGGTTTATTATATATATACATATAAAGGGTATAAAAGTAATTTCACTTCGGGGAAATTCGGGGATGGGGCCGGGGACGGGGGCGGGGACGGGGATCGGGCCGGGCCGGGGATCAAACACTGATCACCATCCCCGGCCCGTGACAGATTGGGAATTGATTTTCAAATACCGTCACCTCCCCGTCGGGGATATTTTTTAGAAAAAAAACCGCTTAAATCGAGATCAGGATCGGGGATCCGTGTCGGGCCGGTTTTAAATTGCCATCCCTAATTTGGAAGTTATATGAGACATAGTTCCATCCTTTCCACGGGAGTGTAGATGTACGAGGCAAAACTCATCTAGTGTAATGAAGTCAACAATTGACATGCCTATAAAGGCTATTCTTTATAGTAAGCAACACGCGATTGACTCGTGTGTGAGTGAAAAAAAAATCTGAGAAGTTATGTTGGGACATTCATTCTATTGTCTACTAAAAACAAACACAAAAATGGTGGTTCTATTGTTTCAATTAAAAAAAAATCAAATTAAGACACCATATCATCTTTGTTCCAAGAGTACGAAATAATTTCCAAAAACAATCAAATGATGTCGGCCTACTGAAAATGGGTCCTGATACCAACTGTTAATATAATATGTAATCGTGTGATTAATTAGACTCTTACTTACAAGTGTAGTTTTCAACATCCATGTTCTGCCATTCAGTGTACAATACAACCATCAATCTAATCTGAGTTACTGAACAATTGTGCTGAAGTCTATATAGTCCCATTGCCTGTAAGACTTGAAATGAGTACAAGAAGAAGCTAATGTCAAAATAAAGCAGCTTAACCTTCATTTACTGATCTTTTAGTTTCTTTACATTCAACACTAGTTACTCTTTGACAAATATGTACCATACAACACATGAGGCTCTATTATGGCATCGAAAACAATCAGATTAGTCTTTACATTGCTCCCATTCCTTTTGAGTTTCATGCACTAGACTGGGGCCTGACAACTGCTGAAGAGGAGTCAACGATGCCAACAGGACCAGGGTTATTATTACCACTACCTCTTCCATTTGCAACCGACTCACCTGATTTCTCTTTCTGTTGTCGTCGTTCCTGATCCTTCACTAACACTGGTTGAAACTGACATAAAGAAGACATTGCATTGGAGACAAGAAAAGAATTAGCAAACTGCAAGTTTCACATGGATGGACAAAATAATGATGTTGTAACTTGTAACCCAGTTCCAGTAACTACAAACCTGATATATTGAATATATCACATTTCTTCTAATCTGTGCCATCATCTCTATGAAAAGGTTGTAGCCTTCAAGCTTATATTCAATGAGTGGATCCCGCTGTGCATATCCACGTAAACCTACAGCTTGCTGAACAAACTTGAGTGCTTGCAAGTGTTCTTTCCATAAGCGATCAATGTTACTCAGAATTAGGAACCTCTCTGCTTCTTTCATCAAGCCTGGTGCTTGTTTCTCCACAATATCCTGAAAAAGCATATTATAAAACAAAGTAGTATATTAGTAATTTTTAAAAAATGAATGATAAGGAATTGAGTTCCTGAGCATGGAATATAGAACAAAGTCAACATAACTTGGGCTATCATAGATGAATTTTCATAAAGTCAGAGGAAGAATGCTGTGAACCTCTGTGAAATTTATTTGGATTACCAAACCAACAAATAACAATGAAAGGAAATTTATGAATCTGTATCATAGCTAGAAAAGTAAGAAAGAATTTTTTTTAAAAAATAATAATTAATTTAATGCTGTAGAAATAATGGGTTCAGACCATACATATCATGGACACACTAAAAAATAAGACTTCACAAGTTTGTGAGCAGATGCAGCATACCAGAGACTAATTTACATACAAGGAAAATCTTCCAATCATTTGACACAAAAAAGTACCAACCCTTTTCTGTAAATATGCATCACGACCACGAAGGTGAAGGTAATCCAGCAGCTCTTCATAATTTGAACATTTGCTCACCAGCAAATCTGGAGTCAAATCATTCAACAAATAGCAATACCTACAGATACAGTAATATGAGGAATTATCAGCGAACTTAGTTTCATGTAGGCATTACATGTTGAATTTTAAAGAGATAACCAACATGCAAGCAAGCAATTATCATTAGCAAAGTAGCACGGGCATGTACATTGGACACAGACGCACCACATGAAGTAAACGCCAACACATCAAGTTCTCAAAAAGTTAGACACAAACAAGGGCGAGATATGTAAATAAATATAGCTTTTGGATGTATACATATATCATTTTTTTCTTATATATGTGGGCATATATGAGATAAATAAATTTCTAACTCAATGGCCTAAAAAAAGTATGCAAACTTTTATTAATATTCTAAACATCCAATCCTATACAATCTATATATAGAAGAAAATGTGGTAGTAGGTGTAGTGGAGGTGATAGTGGGTTAGGTGAAGTGGAGTGTGTGGTGAAGTGGAGGTAGGTGAAGTGGAGTGTGTAGTGGAGTAGGTGAAGGTAAACATGGGAAATTCTAACAAAACTTTTATTAATATTCTAAACATCCAAATTAAGGTTTGCATAATGTGGAAGATGAAACTTCACAAATATGATTTACTGCTAGTTCTATCTCTCTCATTTCCTTTTCCAATTTACAATTATATTCTTCTCCTACATGGGAAAGTGTCCATTGCACTTGAGGTAGACGCGTTGGTGTGAGTTCATCCTATTTAACCAAGAAGTGCCAAAAACTACTCTTATGAAGTGTTGGTCAAGTGCCTGAAGATTGTCTATCAAGTCTACAAAACTATGAAATTTATTCAGGGCTGGCCCTGAGGTGAGGCCACTAAGGCGGTCGCCTCGGGCCCCCAATTTTTAACAAAATTTAGGGCCCCTAATTAGGGGAGTGTATCATGTCGTGTTATTTCATAATTACTTTAAAATTAGTTCAATTCATTTATTTTCATGTTGTTGTATGGTGTTATTTTGATTCGTGTCCGATTGATATTTAATGTAAAAATTTATTTCTATTAAATGAAATTATTCATAAAATGTTTGATTTTAATTCAATTGCATTTTTCTAATTAAAAAAATTGTACCTTATTACTATATATTTTTTATTAGATTGACTCTAAAATAGGTAACAAAAAAATACATATCTTAAATGAAAAAAAGATATTAGCTTTAATTATTATTTTACATACTTTTTTATTCAGTTAGATGGAGTTAAATAAAAGAAACATTAAAATATATAACTAATAATTCATGTTATTGAGTCATATCATATTTGAATTCATATCAAAAAATGGTAAACCCTAACTTACTAATTTTATATATTGCTTGAGTTGTGTCGAAAATTCTCATCCTTAACCCCAATTAATTTTAGTTCTTATAGCATTGGTAAACTAAAAAATAAAAATTCGATTCAACTAATTGAAGTTTAACTATTATATATATATATATATATATATATATATTTGTTATCTAAATTTTGTTGAATTGTAATGCAATAGAAATAAATTTTTATCCTTTTTGTTTTATCCAAACAAATTTTTTTAAAGGTAATAATACATGAAGGGTCCAATTTAAAAAATTTGCCTTATGGCCCTAATAACTCCGGGCCGGCCCTGAATTTATTATAAAATCATGCAACGTCTAACTAGTATTGGTTATGTATCTAGGGCTTGCCAAGAAGTGTAGGTGTACATGGACATGGCCCCTCTATAGAATTGTATGTATTAAGTTCATTAACTCAGCAAGGAATTAACACAAAAATCAGTCACCAGTGACATTCCAGAAATCTGATGAGGTAAAGTTATGTTTTGTCACTTGGAAAATGTAGACACAAAGGTTAAACCTGTCATCACTCTGTGCTAGACCCCATGCAAGAATTAGGAAAAACAGGATAATTCCCAAAAGTACGACTAGTGTTTCAATTATCACACACATTTAGACTTGAATACCAACTACACCCAGGAAGAAGGGTGGCACTTACTGTTGGAGTTTCGCAATGAGCTTTTCAAGATCCCAGCTTTCCCTGGAAGCATCAGGACCAATATTTGCCTGTTCATATTATTGAAGTCAAACTACGAAATATGCCAACGGTTTGTGTAAAAAGATATAGAAGACATTTAACTAATAAAGTTATTACACCTCAGATTCAATTTACCTCCAAGATGTCATCTATTGTCAATTCAGCATATTCAATAAGAAGAGACTGGAGATTGTCAGATTCAAGGGCTCGTCTTCTCTCTGTATATACACGGTCTCTTTGGCTGTTCAAAACCTCGTCATACTCAAAAAGTTGCTTCCTAATATCAAAGAAGTAATTCTCCACCTTCCGCTGAGCTTCATCAAGCGCTTTTGTCAGCAAATTGGATTCAATTGGTAGGTCTTCAACTCTAAAAGCTCTCATCAAACCCTACAATTCACAAGGTTAAGAATTTTTAAAAGCCTATCTTGAAGCAGCTCAAACTAGTAGATTTGTCCAGAGTTTAAACCTGAATTCTATCCCCCCCAAAAATCCGAAAGATATTATCTTCAAGACTAAGGAAAAAGCGAGAACTTCCAGGATCCCCTTGCCTGCCACTTCGACCACGCAGCTGTACAAGTACAATTGCAAGTTTGATTGCAAAAAAAATTCTTTCTAGGTGAAAAATTATTCCAATGAAAAGCAGCCAAGAAAAAGAGTGATGGAAATACACAAAAGAATTTAAAACAAAAAAAAAAACAAAACAAAACAAAACAAAACAAAAATGAAAGAAAAAGAAAATGTTCAATCAATTTTTTAAACTTGAATTGCCAATTTCGAAACAAAATGTAGAAGTTAAACCTGATTATCAATTCGACGTGACTCATGGCGTTCTGTCCCCACCACATGAAGTCCACCGGCTGACACCACCTGCATTGATGATATTATACTTCTCATTAAAGAAAGTTTTGAATCATTACAATCCAGGTTCCTGTGATGAATTGATTTATTCCATTTAGACATTCTTACTTTAGAAATTTCTAATTGGATTTCTATTGCACAAAAACTGAACAAACTTTGATGAAAATTATTTGATAAATTAATCAAACCAATGAGATTTCATAATTTAAATGACTGGATGCTAATGATTTGTGTCAGACAAACTACAAGCCAAAAATTATTCCATTATGGCACTTGACTATAGACTATGAAATTTGATCATACAAAAAGCATATCTACTAGTTGGGTCCTTGCGGACTGTGTGAACTATTTTCCATAAATATATGACAGAGATACAAAATTCAAATTTTCCCTTTGCTTTACCTTAAAAAGTTCTGTAATTTATACCAATGGACAAGAATTTAGTAGGGAAAAAATCAGGGAGCAGATTTACCTTCTTCCTTTCCACCTCAGTGTAGACCTTATATTCTGTAACAATTTCTAGAAAAGCATTGCGCAGCTTTGCTATTACTTCATCTTGAGCAGGCCCCTAAAAATTCAAAATATGTTAGTAGAAATATAAATATATATATATATATATATCCATGTTATGTCTATGTTGAAAAACAATTAGCACTATTATTCATGATAAACAACCAACTTGACTAAAAGCTAAGTTGTTAGAGAGAGGCATTAATTAATTATTAGGATATCCATCATAAACATGGCAAACACATGAACATGTTATAAATTATCAAGTAGGTAGTGAGGTACAACCACAAAATATTGTCTACTCTAATATATGTTAAATTGTTAACAATCAACTCATCTAACTTAAGGTGTCTCATTTGCTTCTTCATTGCTTTGTGGCATATCAGTTTTGTGGGTGTTGATTTTTTCCTTGTTCAGTATGGTATGGGTGCTGCCAGGGACTGTTGTGGGTGTACTCCACAGTTGGAGAGGGGGTAGGGTTGGGAAGAGGCGGAGGAAGGTATGGACTTTGGCACCTTTGTGTTTGATGTGGACGATTTGATTGGAGTGGAATTGGCACATTTTTCAGGGTGTGGATGACTCAGTGGTTTGAATGAAGGCTCAGTTTTTGGTATTTTTTATAGCTGGGTGACTGGAACTATGTCCCTGGATTTGTTTGCTTTCATGGATTTTTTAGATGCTCTCCGTGTTTAGGTTTGCGTTTTGTTGACAATCCTAGATGTATTCGTTAGCATTGGCTTGATGCTATTTCGTTAATAAAATTGTCTTTATTTATCAAAAACAATCAACTCATCTAACACCTTTCCTCACGTGCAACTAGCACATGAAGAAACAAACAGACAAACACACAAATTAAACTTGACAAGTGCACAGACACACAAAACATAGTGCACAATAACAAACATAAAGTGGGAATAAACACATATTGTGGGACTTGAACCTAGAACCTCCTAGCACCATAAGTTCAATTTGTTAGGAAAAAGGGCCAACAATGTACATCTAGCTATCTAACACTCTTCCTCCCTCATGTACAACCTTGTCTCGCACATGGAGAAACAAATAGACAAAACCACACAAACTGGATTGAATAGGTGCACAAACAGACATAGACAAGGTGCAACTTAATCATTTTATATTCTCCCCACCATAAATGAGCTAAAAAATGCATGTATTACAATATCAGGTAAGTGAGATGTTTGAACACAAGACATTTGCTTGCTCTAATACTATGCTAAATTGCTAATAACCAACTAGTCTAAAAGTTTAAGCTCATCTACTGATATGGGACATAAACTAAAATTATTGAACCTTGTCATGTGTATACATAATTACATATACATAGATACAATATATATATATATATAGTTATTAGTTTGTTTTAACCCAGGAATATATCATTTCACGTCATGTAGAAATTTATTTTTATCTACAGTTACATCTTATATATACCATAATCTTCATTTGTAGAGAAAGAATTGGAATCTTCAATGCATTTCACCTTTTCACTACAATAAGATAGCCGCTCCTCCGCTTCAAGCTCACTTAGCGATTTCTGACCCCATGCTTTGACAGCTAGCTGTACAGCTTCCTCAGCCAACTTAGTATTGTCTTTGGAAAGTGTGCATGGAAATAAGTTTTCATTTACCTGGAAGATTATATAATGGTAATGAAACTGCAAAACATAGCAAACTTGATTGGGAACAATTTTACATACATCAAAACAAACCTTCCATGTCTTCTTTGGTGGTGGTTTCTTGACAGATACAAAAACTCCTTCGGCAGGTTTAACAACTCTGCAGCACATTATCATTTCAGAAACAAGGTAATGACTGGCTTGAGGTGCAATATGCCATCTAAACTTGCAGATTGCTTCTTAACAAAATCTTGCAGTTTCAGAATGATACAATTTCATGCCATATGTGCAAAATCATGTAATAGCATTAAACAGGAGAAACAGAAGAAGCTCCTGCCAATTTCTGTTACCAATATGACAAATAAGCACCATGATACTATGAAGTTTCAAGTGTTGTAAGAATATAGTATCGGCTGCAGGGATGTTTTTTTTCCTCCTAATGCAAGTAACATGTGCTCAGAAAAGAAAAGAAAAAAATAATAATAACAGGGCAACATTATGCAAATCTGACAAAGATAATCATGTGATGTGACAGAAGCTAGGGGTGGCTATCATCCTGATGGCCTGTCAAGCCCACCCTGACCATCACAAGGCTTGAGCACGCTTGATACATAAGGCATGTTTGATGCAACTTTTCTCAAGTTAAAAGTTGGTAATCAGAAAGCAGAAGCTAAAAACACCCCTTCCTCAGCTGCTAGATGATCAGTTTTTTTTAGCTTGTTTAAGCTATTTTTGCCTTGTAAGTTGTAAGCCGAAACTGTACCAAACAAATTGGCACATCTTCCCAAAATAAAAAATAAATAAATAAAAACTATAAGATGCACCAAACACCACCATAGACCCATAAACCAAGAGGTCACATTTTACAGCATGTCCAATTTGCAATTTTGACTTGAAAAAGTCTCCTCAAATTCCATATACAAACACAGATAGACAAAAGAGTATTGTTTATGTTATTCTTAACTATGGAAATATCTTTTAAAAGAGCACAACCAGAAGGCTTGAACCCAAACTAGTTCAAAACACAATTGAATACCACTTGACTACTGCATTGTTTCTGTAAGGTAAGAGTATAAAACAATCTAATTCAATGAGGCTTTGTAAGCTAGATTTGGAGGTCCCCAGGCCTTCAGTTATTACTTAGGGTCAGACTGCAGAAAGATGATTTAGGCCTGATGTCAGGTTGGGCTGGCCACCCATCGCACCAATGGCCACCCCTAAGGCCCTAAACTTGGATAGTATTAGATTGAGGGTAAACAAGATAATAAGCAGAATGCATTGTAAATAAATATTTCTGTAGGCAGTATTCCTATCTACTAGATTCATACTCAAGGAACATCATAGAAGTTTTTCTTTTACACTTCCTTTTCAGTAGAGGCTGTATCTGAATGAAGAATATGGAGATAAGCAATGTAACAACCAATTGGTGCAAGTTATCAATTCAATAAAAGCTCGGATGATACCTTGGCATCAGCATCTCACGTAACTTCAACCTTGCCATGAATTCTGCATTACCACCAAGGATTATATCAGTTCCACGACCAGCCATATTGGTAGCAATTGTTACCGCCCCAAGACGACCACTCTGTGCTACAATTTCAGCTTCTCTCTCCACATTCTCTGGTTTCGCATTGAGAACCTTTACATAAGCAGTGATAGTTAAAATCTTTTCAAATGAGGAAGACTTGATAGTACGGAAGTTTGATTCCATATTATATATAAAATAGACATCAACAAGACACTAAATTATACATAAATGTTTGTCATGGAGTGAAATCAATGTCTACATATTCCACAACTAGTATAGCTTACGATTAAGAAAATCATTTGAATCCCACCTCATGAGGGATTCCAGCTTCACGCAACTGTTCCGACAATGCATCACTCTGCTCAACGCTGGTCGTGCCAACAAGCACTGGGCGACCTGTTTTGTGCATTCTAGAAATCTCTACCACAGCTGCTCGCCATTTTCCTGTGGTTGCCTTGAACACCACATCAGATTCATCCTGGAAAAAAAAAAGGTAAAGAAATGAGATGTGGTAGGCATTAAACATACAAATATATGTGTATGGATGTACACCATACATGTGCTTATTTAATTTATCATATCATTAAATTCTCCATATTTCCTCTCACATTCAGGTTTGAGTCTCAGTGGTAAGATTACAAGCATGGACTGCAACATTGCAAATAATAAATTGCATGCTCAAACAAATACAAACCTTTCTTATCATGGGTTTGTTTGTAGGCACAATTGTAACTTTCAGTTTGTAAATACTCTCAAATTCTGCACTCTCAGTTGCCGCAGTGCCAGTCATGCCACAAAGTTTTGGGAACTATAACATACCATTGAAGCCAAATATCAGAAAGTTAAAAGAAAGGAGAATGAGTTTCTAAAATGCTTTCCCAAACCTGAAGAAAGAAGTTTTGATAGCTAATCGATGCCAGGGTCACAGTTTCGTTTTGAATGGGCAAGCCTTCTTTTGCTTCAACTGCCTGGTGGAGTCCATCACTCCAACGTCTCCCCTAACACCAAGTAACCAACTATAAACATTATTAAGTCCTTAAAAAATCTACTCTCCTTTCACCTATCTGACACCAGAAGGTGGTGCATGTTCCACATGCATGATCACATCATGCATGGAGAAAGATGTGGGAGAGAGGCAGAGATATGGAAGGGGGGGAGGGGAAAAGTACTGCCCTTTTCCATCATTTTTTACACAAAATTACACTACCACAGATTAATTGCATTTTCTCATAATAAATGCTCTTTCAAATTTCAAAGAGTTGGAAGAGTTTAGACAATAGCTGAAGTAGAGACCAAACCAGGATGCAACTTAAAGTAATGGTATAAATATTCTGGGACTCTAGCGTAATCTAATAAATAAAGCTGAATAAGTTCATTTTATAATAGGAAGAGAAATGCTGAATAGTTCCTGACCTAGTTCATATTTAATTGAACCCTCAAAACGTTCAATTTTTTTATTTTTTATTTTATTTTTTGGAATCAGCCTCAAAATGTTCATGTGTTTATGATAAGAAGACCAATACTTGCCAGATTGTCCTCATAAGGATGGTTTATAATCATGTATTCTCAACATATTACATCACAACTCTTGCCACAAGCATGTATGAATTGTGACACTGCCAATACAATGAGATTGTTGGTAATATTGTTGGTTCTCAACCTGCGAGTTGGGATTTCACTAGAATCTGGAGGTGTGGTTTAAGCATGCAATAATGAAGATAAACAAAGGAACACCAGTTGACAAGGACACAAGCCAAGGATAAGCCCTCTATATCACCAACTTATTGTACTGGATAAAGTTTTTGTATTGAGAATGGTTTTAGAGAACATGTGCACTCAACGATTGTGTCCAACAGGGTTGTACAAAACAACATTTTCCATTCAAGTGCACAAAAGGGTTAACAGAGTCACCTGCATAACTCGACCTGTAAACTCATCTACAATAAGGACTTCCTTGCCACGGATAATATAATTCACATCTCTAAGAAAAATTTCTTTTGCTTTTATCGCATTCAAAACATATGATGCCCATTGTTCCCGGGGATCATATAAATCTTTGACATCCAGAATTTCCTCAGCATCCACATAACCCTGTTCTGTGAGTAAAATGCTCTTCTGCCTCTCATCAACCTGCAAAAACAATTCTGGTAAGGAAAAGAATAACAAGGTCTCTTCTGACTGCTCAGTGCTCACCACAAGAAACTGGACAATAAATTTTTGAGTATGGGGGTAAGGCCTGGTACATCTTTGCCCTCCCCAGAGCAGGCCTCACTGTAGCAGGAGGCTCATGCACTAGGTTGCCTTTTTTTTTCAAAGAAACAAAACTTTGCACCAATGGTTTTCAAAAAGCAATTGTTTTAATCTAGAAGCATAAATAACACTCCAAGCTCCCAATTTGGTTTTAATCCAGAAACATAAACAGTTCTAAGCTCCCAATAAGAGCAATGGTCCAAAGCCACTCTCAAATTTTTGCATTCAGTAAATCATCTGAATGACAATGATGCAAGGTGAATGAGTTGGTAAATTGCTCCTTGTTTAAAGGACATAATTACAGGTAAAGAACAGGAAGATATAAGCTTGAAATAGTTGATACCTAACTGTCATATAATGGCCCTACAAAAGGAATCTCACTTCACAGTGTTAACCAAACATTATAAATTCTTACTGTACAATATTCAAACTAATAAGAGAACTAAATTAAATATGCCAATCGCTAGTTTAATTTTTTTACTGTGTAATGTATATCTCGCTGAAAGGCAGCAGCTATCTTAGCAGCTTTGTAGTACCGATCACTAGGTTTTTCAGCAGGTCCTGATATGATAAGTGGAGTTCTTGCTTCATCAATAAGGATGGAATCAACCTCGTCAATTACACAGTAATTGAAACCCCTCAGCACAAGTTCATCAACACTCTGTAGACCAGAAATATAGTCAGTTTGGATGGAGACAATATTGGACAAGCTCTTGTAAAAAAAAAAAAAACAATAAAGACAACACAAGACATTATTGCCTTCACGGCACTATAGTATATTTTGGTTATTTTCAGAAAGTTGCTAATTATTAAAAAAATTCACGTAGCACAAAAATTACTTTCCGTGGCAAGATTATCCCTCAAATAATCAAATCCGAGTTCACTGTTGGTGACATATGTGATGTCGCACAAGTAATTTTCCCTCCTTTGTTCACTTGTCATATTCTCTGCCAACATAAGCAACCCATTGTTACAGTGATCATCCAAATTCAGAGTCCAGCATCCACCCAATCAGAAGTTGCAAAATCACATATAAACAAAATTCCACTAACACAATGTCAAGCAATTAATATGCAGTTAAAATCTAAAAACAGTAAGTAAGTCAATATGACGAAAGTGTATGGAACAAAACATAATGGCAGAAAAAGGATGAAAACATATGCAGGAATGGGATAATGTACATTCAGGGAGAATAGATGAGAGAGCCAAGCAACTGAATGAAAAAGTAAGAGGTCTTCAATAGGATGGTGAGACAGATACAGCATAAAACTAATGAGAAAATTGAATACAGTGCAAGTACATAAAAAAGTAAGCTTCAGATTTGATGCAAAAGTGGGAAGGGGGCCGAAAGTTGTACCCCCTGGTTCCTTCTAGAAGAGAACAATGTAACTTGATAGAAGCACATCAAGTTAATTATTTTCAGCCATTCCGATTCAATCAAGTTAATAATTTTAAGTCATTCTGACATCAAATCAATTTGGTAGACAGAATTCAATAAGACAATACCATGAGAGAAGAAAAGGGACGTTCAGGGAAAGGTAAAGAGAGAAGAATCAAGTACAAAATATAAACCTTTTGATTGGATAAACTAGAGCCAAAGCAAACTACAGGAAAAACTGAAAATGGAGAAGGAACTCGCTAAATTTTTCATCAAGTGCAGCTTCCTCTCCATTGCTTCAGTGGAAGTGCATTGTGTGGAAAATGGAAAATTTAAATATGATAGAAAATAAAGACTTCGGTCACTTGAAAGCAGGTTTCGCACGATTTGAGTTCTAAAGTACCGCAAGGTATATAAGGGTTAGGCTGGTTGTTTTAAGAGCTTCATTGAAATAGGGATTACTAATAGAAATATAAAACGAGGTATTCATCAAATGAAAAACTTAGATTCAATACACTGTAATTTGGGAAGCGCCTATCCACCTCCTTCCCTGAAATGCACTTCCTTATCTCCACAGTTGAAAGCCCATTTCAAAAATGCATCTAAATAATACCATGGAAGGTGTTTTTGATAGCAAATACAGCATGATACAGCATGATACAGCATGATAGCATGTACAAAGTAATAAGACCATGGAAGGTGTTTTTGATAGAAGGCACACAAGGCATGAAATACAAAGCCACAAGCTTTGAAATGATCAATCCCCAACTTACTGGAAGTGAGCATAAATCCACATGAAAAGAAGCTTAGGATAACAAATAATAAAAGAGTGAGACATACGTTGGATTAGGCCAACCTTCATTCCAAGAAACCGGGGTACTTGACCAACCCATTCACAATCTCGCCGTGCTAGATAATCATTGACAGTGACAACATGAACTCCTTTCCCAGTTAATGCATTCAGATAAGCTGGCAAAATAGCAACCAGGGTCTTTCCTTCTCCAGTCCTCATTTCAGCTATTTCTCCCTTGTGAAGAACCATCCCACCTAAATGACCAAAAGTTATTAAAACAGAAGAGTTCCAGATATGCATATGCACTCAAATTGATGAGTAAAAAGAAAACACAAAACCCACTTTTTAATGACCCCAACTGGTTGTGAATAACAAAGACAATGGGCTTCAATGCAAGCATGAGAATATGGCCATGAAGACCTCCCCAGATTTAGACTGAGGGGATCCAAGTATGTGTGCGTGGAGTGTGTGTATACATGCACCCACCCACAACACACATGGTGTTCGCAATGTTGTAAGTATTTGGTGGTGAAGTCAGTGGCAGAGGCAGTGGGATCCAGGGGGGCAATTGTCCCCTTGAAAATAAGAAGAAAAAATCAGCTTCTGCATATTGTTTGGATAATGCATATACATATACATAAATACGTACCTATTTTGATATCAATGCAATTCCATATCTATTGTCTGCCATAATACTGGAAGGGTAGATTGCCTACTTGCTAAAAGAAGAATTCCTTTTGGCTCTCTTATGACCTATGCTAGAGTCCTGCTATTCCTAAACTTTATGCTATATTAGGTTCACTGGAATGAAAGTGAAATGGAATGGAATGGAATGCTCATTCCTTACCATTCGCTTACAATGGTGAATGATGATTCCATTTACAATCTATTTTTCATCCTTTTTTTAGCGACCAAACATGAGAATGGACATTCTAATGGAATGATCATTCCATTCCACCTTCACTCTAGTCAGCCAAACACTACCTTATAGATATATAATTCAAGACTGAAAGTGTTTAACTTGATTTAATAAACTTGCAATACCCCTACAGGGAAGCAAATATTGAACACTATCCCACTGTTTTAATTTAAATGGAGAATAATAGAATATAAAAAGAAATATACACCGATGGGCACCAATTGGATGATCATAAAACAGTGGAGCACAAGATTGAAAATAGTCTACTAGAGGAAAGAAAATAAAATATAAAAAATAGACACCGGAAGAAAGAAAAAGGAAAGAAGAATAATGTGTTGTATTCACCATAAACTATTTTTTTCCTTTTTTTAATTTTTATCTAGTAACCCACTTACTTGACCACTTTCTTAAATGTTTTCACATGTTGCAAGTCTAATGATTAACGTTGCTCTTAGCTTGCTCAAATTAAATTTATTAAATTTTTGCTTTAGTAAGTGCATTGTGGATATTGATAGTTCGTATTTGAGCGAAATCTAATTGCAACATTTTGAGGGTTGTTAATGAAAGTGTCATACTTTTTCTGGGCAAAAAATATGAAAGTGTCATACTTATTGCAACCATTTTCTTACATTTTTTATTTTTATTTTTTCTGTCTTGACTTAGTTAACAGACTGTGTTGGGGTTCTTTCTCTTTTTCATTATCGTGTGTTGATAAGAGTCCATATTTTCATTACACAACAAAATTACGAAAAGAGCCCGTATATTAAATGGTAACCTATGAATTAATAACTTCGTATATTACTAGGTTATGTGCACGAAAAAAACTTAAAAGGAAAAAAAAAAATACACAAGTCAAACACTGTTAAGGAAAATAAATTTTATTTGTTTTGAAGATTTAAGTATTGACTAAAACTACATCTTCAACTCAAAATTACTATTTGTTAGTAAGCACTTTTTCCCTCTCTCAATCTCCTGGTAATATTAAGCACAAAAGAAAGGAAGTTCAGGCTTTTTCTAGGTGATTATTTTTTTGGGGAAAGGCAACTTACAACAAAGTCAAAAGAACCCAACATGACAATTTACCTATCAGTTGAACATCAAAAGGTCGAAGTCCTAGAACTCTTTTCGAAGCCTCTCTCACAACAGCAAATGTTTCCTGCAATGCAACAATTCTTTTGTGATGAATATACGCATTGCATTTCCAACAACAAATGGAAGAACAACTAAAAAGAATAAAGAAATACAACTTCTGATTAACTCACTAAGCAAATGAACAACACAGTGGCTTATTTGATTCAAACACATCCCTTAATAAGATGGATTCTACGATCTTATTGAAACAAGCTATGGGCTTCAAATATCTTTCTCGTGTCACACACCTAAGAGTTCTTGTAACACAGTGATTGTGAAACTAAACCAGTTAAGTTACAAACATTCGCCTGCCAGAAATTGAAGTTCTCACTCTAATTTGTTGGTGTTGCCAGATAAATTCTTAGAGGGGCCACCCAATCCATATATATATATATATACATATTTTTCTATCCCCAATTGATAAAGAAAGGAAATGTTTTGAATGCTTATCAAAGATTCTATTGCCTTTCAAGTTAGAAGAACCTAATTATGTAGTTATTGCTTCTTTGTGATGAGTATTAACTATTTCTAAAACTTGATTGCCTAATCATTAACTCTACCTTTTGTCAAAAATAAGCACTCTATCAAAGGTTCACTAGTATGTAGCATAACTTGAGAAGAAGAAGAAGAAGAAGAAGAAGAAGAAGAAGACATACAGGTAAAAGAGAGTCCAAAGAATCACCCCGGCGAGCACGTTCCTTCAAGACTTCCGTCTTCTCCCTCAATTGGGAATCAGAAAGGGTTGACATCTCAGCTTCAAACCCATTGACGAGAGAAACAGTTGAGGAATACTGCTGCCTAGTGGACTCCCCTGTGTCAGCGCCCTTAAATATCCCACCCAAGAGCCCTCCCAACGATGCCGTCGGACTGAAAGCAAAGGGCCGCCGCAGAAGCCGCCGTCTGCCGCGGCCGCAGAATCTGAAAGCTGTGGTTGGAAAAAGGGGTTCGCATCTTCTTCTTCTGGTGGTGGAATCTAAGGAGAGACTCACCGGCCTAGGGTTCCTGAAAGTATCGTAATTTACATCCTTGGACTTCACCCCCACCACCGCCGGCGACTCAAATGGAGTTGCCACTGCCGCCATTGCTAACAATAATGAATTGATTGGCAATTTGAATTAATGGTTGGAGAGAAGGGATGCAATGGCGAGTAGTGAATTGTAAGCAGCAAAAGCAGTCTTGAATCTGGTGTATGTGATTGAAAATGGAGAGAGATTCATATGAAAAAAACAATACTAGGAAGAATTGAATTGAGTCGTTGCTCTTTCACTCTCTCTCTCTCTCTCTCTATGGTATTTTGCTTGAGAGATGAACCCAAGCAAGAGGGTTTGCGTGTATGTGTTGGAGAGAGAGAGCTTCTTACACAGAGGAAGATGAAGATATGTGATGATGACTGATGAACCAGAACAAGGTTATGGCGGGGATAAGGTTTTCAAGGAAAAAAATAAAAGTTAAAAAAATGGTTCTTTTTATATCAATTGGAAATATGTTTGCCAAAAGCATAGGGTATGTTTGGTTTGTGTTTGGGAGATGTGTTTTAGAGATAAAAAGTATGAAAAGTTGTTAGGTTTGATTTTTTTCAAAAGATGTTTTGAAAAATTATTCTGAGAGAGAGTTTTGGAAAAAGTGATTGATTTGATGTGTGTGAGAGAAAGATTTGTTTGGAAAACTTGTTTGGTTTACAAGTTTTGAGAAATTTTTTTGAGAAAATTTGTTTAGTTTGATCACTTTTAAAAACTTATTTGTAGAGAAAATTTCCCAAAAATTTTTCACAAATACAAACCAAACAAACCCATAAAGTTTGGCAGCTTGAAAAAACACTAGCCGGAATAGCTCCATTACATAAAACGACATCGTTTTGAGTTTTTTTTTTACGGAGAGGCCGAAGGAGATGCCGAAACTAGATCTTGATTTTGGATTTGGTTATTTTTTATTCTATGGGTTGATTTTGATTTTGATTTTGGGATTGATTTTGGATTTTGATTCTATGGGTTGATTTTGATTTTCGATTTTAATTTTGATTTTGATTTTGGTTTTGATTTTGGAATTGGTTTTCGATTTTGATTTTGATTTTGATTTTGGGTTTGGGTTTGGTTCAACCTTGTTTTCTAGATCATCATGAACGAAACATATCAATGAGTCAACTTCTTTTTCTGGATCATCCCATTAGAATTAGTTTGATGAATCAACTTCTCTTGTTTTCTACTTCTCTTGAATTCATCATCCCGAACGAAACATATCAATGAATCAACTTCTTTTTCTGTAAGTAAACCAACTTCTTTATTCTATATATATATACAAAAATCTGTACACTCGTGTGCTTGAGAAAGATCTCTAATCTAAAAGATGAGATGATAATGATGAAGAAATTGGGGGTGTTGTTGTTCGTTTACTGTAGGCTTTTTTTTTCTCTCTCTCTCTCTCTCTCATCCCAACGCAGAAAGAATACTAGAAATTCTCACACCCAATTAGATTGATGAATCAACTTCTCTTGTTTTCTACTTCTCTTGAATTCATCATCCCGAACGAAACATATCAATGAATCAACTTCTTTTTCTGTAAGTAAACCAACTTCTTTATTCTATATATATATATATACAAAAATCTGTACACTCGTGTGCTTGAGAAAGATCTCTAATCTAAAAGATGAGATGATAATGATGAAGAAATTGGGGGTGTTGTTGTTCGTTTACTGTAGGCTTTTTTTTTCTCTCTCTCTCTCTCTCTCATCCCAACGCAGAAAGAATACTAGAAATTCTCACACCCAATTAGATTGATGAATCAACTTCTCTTGTTTTCTAGATCATCCCATTAGAATTCATCAAACTACTTTTTCTGTAAGTAAATCTGTAAGTATTGATTTTGATTTGGAAGAGTTGGCAATATTTCACCTCTGGTTTCAAATTCCTGGTAAATTTGGAAGAGTTGTTGCTTGTACTGAAGAAGAGAAAATACAGAAGAAGAAGAAGAAGAAGAGAAGAAACAAAGGAATGAGGGAAAGGAGAGAGAGAGAGAGAGATGGGGGGTGAAAAGTCAAAGTCGGGCCACTCGAGCCTCGACTTTCTTGAGCTACCAAGCGGGACTCTTGCCAAAATGTAAAAACAACAAGAGCAATGGTAGAGGGCCCAAATTCTGTGGCTCAAATGTGGCTCAAATGGCCAAAACGACGTCGTTTTGAGTACAAAACAACATCAAAATGGCCAAAACGACGTCGTTTTGGCCATTTGAGCCACATTTGAGCCACAGAATTAGGGCCCCCAAACATTTTTCAAACAACAATGCTAGGTATCTCAAAATTTTGTGGTTTAAATGGTTTAAATCTATCAAAATGACGTCGTTTTGACAGATTTTGAGTGTAAAACGACGTCGTTTTGACAAATTTGAACCATTTGAGACACACAATTTTGAGCTACCAAACATTTTTCATGTAAAAAATAGCTTCTTGTTTTTTTTTTATAGTAATTTTTCTAAAACAAAATTGGAAAATGTCTCGTAGCTCAAATTTTTTGGCTCGTTTTGGCCATTTTTATGTTGTTCTGTACTCAAAACGACGTCGTTTTGGCCATTTGAGCCACTTTTGAGCCACAAAATTTGAATTACGTAGCATTGTCGAACAAAATTTTCACTTTGTTTAGTTTTGAATTTTTAAATATATTTTTGAATTTTGAATCTTTTATTTTTTGTGTTTTGTTGATATTAATATTTTTTTAATATATATTTTAGTAAGTTTTTTTTTAAATGCACAATATATTTAAAAGGGAAATTTTTTTAAGGTCCCTAATAATAATAATTTAGAGGATAAAGGACACCAAAAAAAAAATAGTGATGCATCAAGTCCCTCAGTAACATGGCGCGCGTTTTTAATTATTTTGTAGACCAAAATACCCTTTCCAAAATCAACACAGAAACGAAATTCATTCCGACGTCTGAGTTCCATTCCGAGCATCCAGCATCTTCACGAACAAGAGAACAGCAGAATTAGGGTTTCAATATCATCTTCACCATCGACATTAGAGCTTCATTATCTTCTGCAAAAATCATTCCCATTCCTTCATCATAAATTTCTCTGGCCCTGTTTTCACAGTTCATCGTCATCTCAATTCATCTTCGTCACGTCCCATCTTCATCTTAGGCCATATCAGCTCGTCATTCAAGTTTCATCCTAACTCTGGTAAGTTTTTCTACAATACAAACTAGATTTTCTCTGAAAATACAGTTATTTGCATTTTATATTAACCTTTCGTAAATTAGGGTTTCAATTTCGTAATAAAAAGCTACATAAATTTGAAAAAAATTATTTTTGTGTGTTTTGAACTTATTCTTGAACATGTTTGTGTGATTTTATCTGTAAATTTCTTTGGCATTTGAATTTCTCTGGTTTTTGCTTGATGTATGTTTCTTCTTTCAATTTTCTCTGACATGTTTATTTTGAAAAAAGTAATTTTCTGTGTTTTCATCTTATTCTTTAACATGTTTCTGTGATTTTTTCTATAAATTTCCCTGCTCTGTAAATTTCTCTGTAATATGTATTTTTAATTGGAATGTCTATATTTCTCTGGAATGTCTATTACTCTCTTGTCTCTGTCTAAGTTTCTCTGGTATTTATAATTTTCTCTGACCACATCACATCACTTTCCTCCCTTGTGTGTCTCTATCATGTTTAATTTTCTCTGGCATTTTAATATTATAGACTGGAATGAATGTTTCTTCTTTGAATTTTCTCTGACATGTGTATTTTGAAAAAAAGTTATTTCTCTGTGTTTTGATCTTATTCTTGAACATATTTCTGTGATTTTGTCTATGAATTTCTCTGCTTTGTAAATTTTTCTTGAATATGTATTTTTTTCTGGAATGTCTATTACTCTCTTGCCTCTGTCTAACTTTCTCTGGTATTTATAATTTTCTCTGACCACATCACATCACTTTCCTCTCTTGTGGTCTCTATCATGGTTAATTTTCTCGGGTTGTGTATGTAAATTTCTCTGGCATTTTAATATTATGAATTGAAATTTTCTCTAGAATGGAAATTTCCTCAAGAATGTGTAATTTTCTCCGAAATGTGTATTTTTCTCTAGTATGTTTATTTTGTTCAATTCTTGGTTTCAATGTGGTGTAATTTTCAGTGGCATGTTTACATTACTTTGTTTGTTTTATCTTGCTAATTGTGGAATGGAAATTTTCTTTGACTTGCCATGTTTACCTTTCTCTGTCATTCATTTTCTCTGGTGTGTTTACTTCTATATGTAATTTTAACAATTATTGAAAATTTCTCTCCTATGTTTATGCTGCTTTGTTGATTTTCTCTGACATTTAATTTTTAATGTCCAATTTTCTCTGGCATGTCCAATTTTCTGTAATTTTTTCTTATCTGTAATTTTCTCTTATCTGTAATTTTCTCCCTTATCTGTAATTTTCTCTGACATGTCCAATTTTTTTGGCATGTTCAATTTTCTCTGGGATTTAATGTTGACATCTTTATGTTTTAATCAGTGTCTAGAAATGGCAAAACGTAAAAGCAGCGAAACACCGGAAACACCAAGCAAGAAACAAAAACTCTCTCAGTCTTCTTTTGAGCTAAGATAAAAAACCAGCAGCAAAACACTAGAAACACCAACCAAGAAAGAACAACTCTCTCAGTCTTCTTATGATCTAAGATAAAAAAATCAGCAACAAAACACCACAAACTCCTCGCCAAAACACACAAGTCCAAGGTGATGAAGCAACTAGCATCCAGATGAGTACCTCAACTTTAAAAGACTTAAACTCAAGGAGGAAAAAACCTGTTAAACTTCACAGAAAGAGAGCTCACTACAGCATTCAATACCGATCCAACCTCTCATCTGTTGTCTCCTTTTTTCAAACACTTAAATTCAATTCAAACCAACTTGTAGAGCTTCAAATGACCCCATTTTCGTATTTGATCCAAGCTCTAACCACTGGAAGGATGGATCCAAGGAAATCTGATGATGATGTAGTTACAATAATCCAATGTTACAATGAAAAAACAAAAGTATTCACAGTTGGTAAAAAGAATTTGACCTTTACAATAAATGACATGACCTTGATTTTTGATTTGCAAGGAGGTAAAGAAGCCATGTTATTAAGATACTCTAAAAAATCAAAATCTGCATTCCGAAGGAGAAGATTCTAAAAGGACACAAGGCTTACTGGTCCTGTTCTTAAAAATGCCTTGGTCAAAGCAATAAAAGGCAAGCAGCCAACTGACTTCAAAGATGTAGTAATCATTGTTACGTTGTACTTGTGTCTCACCCTATTTTTTACAACAAGTGGGAATTCAATATGGTGGGTTTTTATAAAGTATGTGGAACCTTTTGAATCAATGAAACAATATGATTGGTCAAAAGCAATTACATCAACATTGATTGATTCTATCATAGCATTGCACAAAACTCCATAAAAAGTTACGGGG